ACCTCCGGGGCAGGCGGGATCGAACTAATTGGAAGTGGCTTTAGCTTCTTAGTGCTGTGCTTTAACCTCCTGCGCCACCAGGGAGGGCCAAGATTTATGTGTTTTGGAATTTTATATAAACGGTACTTGCTTTATATAAATTTCCTACAATTTATTAACATACTCTGTTGTTAGACTTCTTTTTCTATGTAAATAATGAGTGAACTGTTTTGCTGTTTACAAATTTATAAATGTGTTTTAAACCTAGCATTATTTTGGTTTTGTTTGACTTTCTAGTTATCAAATGCCTGCTGGAAAATCTGGAGGAAGAAATATGTCAGGCTGAAAATTCTCTGCTTCAAGCAGCCGCGTCATTTCCCATGTATGGGCGTGTCCACTGTATAATAGGAGCTTTGCAGAAGTTATCGCTGAAGTAAGTATATTCACAGCTGTCTCCTGAGCACTCTTTTCTGAGCTTTAAACTCTTAATTGTAATGTGTTATGGGAAAGGAGTTTACAGCTCCTTTAGTAATGATAACAACAATAATAATAAATATAGTTTATTGCCTTAAAGGTAATTAAAATTAGATTTTTAAATTGTGCATACAGGTGCTATTTTTCTGTCTCAGATATTTCACATTGCAGTTTTGAAACCCAGGTACTTTCAACTCCATTTATCTACTGCCATTTGAAAAATCTTTGTTTTTGCTATTCGTATAAATTTCCCTGATCTCCTGTTGCAGCAACCTGCAGTTCGTGAGCGAGTGGAGACCCGTGGTGGAGCAGCTCCTCTGCGTATCCTACAGGCTCTCTGCCGTGGTGGCGCCGGTCATCCAGAGCTCCTCCCCTGAAGGCCTCATCCCGATGGACACTGACTCAGGTCAGCAGATGAAGGAAGCTCACAGAACTTTTCCTTAATGTTGACGTTTTTGTTCATTTGTCTCCACGTTTCCTGTTTCTTTGTTTTGTATCTGTCATGCATTCTGAATTCCTGAAGATACTGTCCCTTAAAAGCCATTGTAATGAATGTATAAGCCTCTTAAAACATTTTTATCTGATCATCTTTTTTTTTTTTCCTTAGTCTTTCCTTGATTTCTTTTTTGGGCCACAGTGACGTTTTTCATGCCTGTCAAATTTCTTTTGTCAAAATTTCATGGAAGCCTCAAGTGAACATAAGGTGTTGGTTGAATTCTTGTGATAGTAGTTGTATTTTGTATTTCCTATGTTACCAAAAATATAAATGTATATAAAAGGTATACTGTAAGTACCTGTGCTTTGATTTGTTTAGTTTTATATGATTACCTGTTGTTATTTTCTTTAAAATAGGGAGATGTTGGAGGGGGTGGAGTGGGGAGTAGATGATGTATAGTCATAGGAGTGAAAAAAAAACAAAGCATGAGTCCCAGATGATTCTAATATACAATATAACTTGAGAACTGATCAATCAGAAAAAATATATGGATAGATGCACTTATATTTTCTTCTAAGATTTTGTTAAAAAAAAATTCACCTTATCTAATCTCAAAAAAAAAAAAAAATTGAGCTTGGCTAACTCTTTGTTACTAAACGGCCATTCATCCCTCTAGCTTGTTCCTGAACTCCTGCCACAAACTAGTTTTTCTTCTAGGTACTGGCGACTCAGCCGTGAACAAAGTGTTGTATTCATAAAGGTAAAATTTCCTAATCCAGTGAGTGTTCAAGGAATAAAAATGAAGTTTAATATAATACTAGGACTGTAAAGCATACTTAGAAAGCAGTATATGAACCACTTCATTTCAAAGACAAGTGTGGCATCTTCATGATATTCCTGTATTAGGAAAGATTGTTTTTGTTGTTGGTTTTCTTTTTTAAAAATGCCTTTTACCTTTCTACATTAAGCCTTGCTGCTAATGGAAGTTGCTTGCCATTCTCAGACATGATTGAACTCTGTACTTGAGATTCTTAAGATTCTAAGAGTATGATTTTCACAGCAGTGTGAACTAGATGACAAACTTTGTCCTTTGGACAGTTACCCAGTGTTTCTTTAACTTACTTACGTCGTATTTTAAAAATCCTCTCATTGTCTTGCAGACTTTATTTAACAGTGCTTGCATTTATTTTCTTCTGAGTCCCTTCTAATAGAGCTGATTATCAAGTATTGAAAATTAAAGAATTTTGAGGGCAAATACCTACAAGGAACACCTGCAGGAGATGAGGATCTGGGGTTTTATGTGCTTTCTGTTCTCCCTCAGACTCAGCAAGCCGCTTGCAGATGATTCTGAATGAGATTCAGCCACGAGACACTAATGATTACTTCAATCAAGCCAAAATATTGAAAGATTGTGATACCTTTGATTTAGAGGACTTGAATGCTGGTCTACCAAATACTGGTACTTCTTCAGAATTCAAAGGTAGCATATGTAAAATCAACGTTACATAGAAATAGGGTCCAAGTGAAAAAATATACAGAATTTCTCTTTTTTACGTGGTAAATCAGATGATTAAGATGTGTACAGAACACTTGTAGAAAATAAAGTCTTTTTTTAACTTTTAAATTATTTGGGGAGACGGTCGATAAGACTTTTCCAGGAAATGGTGTGGCTCAGCATAGCGTATAAGGTGTTACAACAAAAGGCCTTTCAGTGCTCAAACCTGTCTTGACAGCCAGGTGATGTAAGAGCAGTGATGCTCAGTGAATTTGGGTTTGGGCAGCAATTGACTTGGCAATGGGGTTTCTTGCTGTTTGCTCTGAGATTCCTTAGGCTCAGTCCTTAGACTTAGGCATCCTTTTAAAGGAACAAACCTAATTGCTCAGTAAAATTTGAGCCTCTCTGTTGTATCAAGCCTCCAAAATTCGAGTTCTTTCTGCTTATTATGTCATTTCTTGTTATTTTATAGTTTTCTTTAATGCTATAAAAAGTCAGCAGAAGTGGTAATTGCAATGACTTAATGCAATGCTCACATTCTCCACTAGATGGCGATATTGTGTTGTAAAAATTCTCTGAAATTTTAAGTACACAAAATTTCGTATAAATACATACTTATTGTAATATCTTCAAACAATGCAGATATAAATTAAGAACAAATATAAGCTTCCCTTAAGTTCTCATTAATTCTAGTTCTTTCCTTATAAACCTATTGTATGCTTTTATCTGTATGTACAATTTCCCTTTAGTTTGGTGATCTTATTAAAAACATAAATGAGATTACATTAGAAAGATTATATTGTTAACTTGCCTTTTAAATTTAATAGTTTGTCTTGGAATTTTTTAAATGTTAATACTAAAATATTTCTAAAACTCAAGAGTAAGCTTGCTAATCAAGGGCTTAAATATATTTTCAAAAAGAATTATTTTCTTTTGCCTAAAGTCATATTCTACTTCCCTGTTGATATACTAGTCATCCTTACCAAGGTAAGTAATGAAGTATAGTTATTGTTGTCATATTTTATGGATAACTTAGAGGCAGAGAGAGTTCATTTCACTGATTTCCAAAGGTTAGTTTTCAGTTTTGCAACAGTAATTCTTTTTATGTTTTAATTTATTTTCGAAATAGCATGTGAAAAAAATACCAAGCTTGAGTCCTCCTCACAGCACATGCTCAACAAATGTTCGCTATTTTTTCCTGAATAAATATAACATATGACACATTGGTTTGTTTAAGCAGATTATTCTAGGGAAATTATGAATAAGCTTGTTCTAAGAAACCTGGGATATGAGTAATCAAGTGTCCAGTGTGGCAATAATTTTTTTTTTTATTTTAAGGTAAAGAAGGAAAAACATGTGATGTAACAGCTCAGATGGTGCTGGTATGTTGTTGGAGAAGTATGAAGGAAGTCTCTCTCCTGGTAGGCACACTGTGCCAGCTTCTGCCCATGCAGTCTGCGCCAGGAGCTCCTGATGGATTATTGACCGTGGAGCAGGTAGGGTAGATGTTTATTCTACCTGGGCTAACCTGTCAGCCAATCATACATTGCAAGCTTTTATTTATAACCCAGTTTTCAAAAACGAGTTTTGAGCTTTTCTTGAATAAAATCCTACCTGTGTCAAATGAAGAGTTGATCATTTAGGAACTGGACCTTACAGTATATTTCAAAACTATGGCATTTTTAGAAATACATTTCTAAATTTAAAAAAATGTAGATTTCATCTCACTAAGTTTAGTTCATATTATCATTTCACTTTTATTTCTCCATATAACACGTGTAAAAATTTAATTTTAATGAAATTGTCTATTTAGTAACATTCCACAAACCTCTTAAATTTTACACAGAAAAATAAGTAATATACCGCTTGATTTTAGATCTTGTGTTTCCCACTACCTTGATGGTAAAGTTGTAGTCAATTCAGTTTTCTTAGCTGACTTTTATTTTAAGACCACAAAGTCAGTTCACCATCTGGGACTGTTCAAGTGACTTGAGTGCAGTGTTTACAAGAAATTAGCTTACCACAAGCATTTCATTTGGAAATATTTTAGATTTATTAGATTTCTGGTTTTAATTGATTCCCTCTTCCTTTCCATATGGTTTCAACAAATCCATTTCCCACCATTTTCCACCAAAAATATATAGCATGTACTTTCATTTTTAACCCTTTTCAAGCAAAGATAACTTCCCCCCTAGGGTGTTAGAACATTTTCGAACAAAACAAATATTGTAGTATGCTAATGATAATTATTTCTATAACAATCATGTGACTAGTTCCATGGAAATAATGCTAATATTTTTATTCTCACACACTCTGTGGCTGATGTGCTTGCATCTGGTTCACAGCTGGGCTAGTGATGTTGCAAGGCCCTGAGATGAAGCACAAACAGCACAGGGACCTGCACACAGCAGGCAGGACTGTGTTCCTTTTCTCTTCCAAATCAAATAGGTGTCAGTGTCCTCGAGTTACTTGCAGTCATTGCTGGTGACTGGCTGGAGTGCCAGTGCCAACTTTTTTGCTGAGGAATCCAGCTATGATTAATGATCACTTCACTGATGTTCACCATCTTGCTATGAAGTAAACATGTGCTGGACTCCCTTCACTTAACTTTTCAAGGACAAATGAAAACATCTAGTGTTGGGAGGTTGTCAGGTAATGTTTTCAGAAGAAATTAGGGTAAATATATTTTGCTTTCACTGTAACTGAGAGAGACCTGAGAACTTCCTGTGAAAATCTTTTTGCCTTGACACCAGTTATATAACACCCAAAATATGAATTTAAGGTGGGTGGGAAAACCTTGTTGAAATTGGGGATTCATGTAAAATAAAAATTGTTGGTGGAAAACCAAAAAACACTAGTTGAGAAGATCTTCTAGACCAAAGAACCCTTCTGATCACTCTTTTGACTGTCTTTCTATAAAATCCAGGTTTCCATTCTCATGAGGTCCAGTCATTTTTTCATGTCATTTTTAGGGGTGATGACCTCACATAGGAAGGTTTGAGAAAAAGTTAGTGACAGAAGGAGTGTACAGGAGAGCAGCACTGTTCTGACATTGAGGCCTGGCTTTCTGTGGGAAACTTGATTCTTAATCATACTGACTGATTAGAGAAGTGGTTCCTTTAGGCATATTTTGTCAATGAAAACCTACAATCCCAAAGCAATTAATATTACTCATATTACCAGAGGATTCTTGCTTTTAAAGAAAGCCGGAGGTGTGGGGAGGTGAGAGGCTCCACTAGAGACAGAGTGGAGAACAGAACAGGTGGATCTGCTGACGCACACTGCTGAGGGGAGCAGCAGGTGAGACAGAGATATGCTGCACCGTGTGGGTCACCTGGCTGGGGATCAAACTCATGCTGCAGTGGCTGCAGATAGCTTCACAGTGCTGCGCTTTAATCCCTTTTGCCACCAGGGAAGGCCCTGGCTTTTTGTTTCTAAGCAAAATAGTAACTTTGGTCTTCTTTTCCCTCAGTGCATGACGATGGCTCATACCACCTCTAATAGTGATGTTCCACCTGATGCTTCTCTTAGAATCCACTCACTTTTCTCTGGAAGAACTGATTGGATTCTGTTATAATTTCAGAGTTGAGGTCTTGCATACAGAAGACAGGGAGGTTCTTTTGAACCCCAGTTTCTGATTTTATGGTGCTTTGTTAGAGGGGTAGCTACTTAAATTCCACTTGTAAGAGTAGAATTTATAATAGGACAACAAACAGTGAGATTACAACTTGGGTATTTTTGTTGCTGTATGTGAAAAATGGGTGCTCGTTTATAATTCTTAGTATTCAGCATTATATTCACAAACTCTGAGGGGTGGGAGGATCACAGATGATATTATCTAGCTCCCTTGTACAAGGGGAAACCGAAGCCCTAGGATGTTACCTGGTTTGCCTAACATCACAAAGCTGGCTTGTGGTAATGCTGGGACAGGGACCCAGTTCTCCTTCCTTCCCAACTTGTGTTCTGACACGGCACAATGCTGCCTTTGTTCAGGGCTGCCTGTTTAATTTTTCTTTCAATTTAATTTTCCCTGCTCCCCAAACCCAACCAAATTTGTTGCAAGCAGCAGGACAGTTAGGCAACTTGCTCCTGAACTTTTCAGCAAATGATCCATTTCCCTGGATCACTCACATCTTAAGAAGCAGTGTGTCCTCACAGCCTCGCCAGGAGGAAAATGTGTTCATTCAGAGGCATGTCTGTCCTGTAGTCACATAATGAAAGGTTCTTTCATAATTTCTCTGTACAAGGAGTAGAGATAAACTCAGCTTTGATGGCTGTAAGGCGAGACCCTTAATGAGTGAGCTGTCCACGCAGCCTTATCGCACAACTTCCTGACCAGTGTGTATCTCTGGGTTTCGAGCTCGATGTTATGCTGATGTGGAGCTTTTGCTTGATACATTTTGTTGGTCCGCTTACCATAGGTTATCTGATACCTAGTGCCTGCTGATTTTTTAAAAATAACTTACTCTACCTGGAGTATCCACTCATGCTTTCCCCCTAACATCCTTCAAAAGAAGCTTTTGAGTAGAGTTCTCCTACCTGCTTTCCTCTTCCTAGTAATTCTTGCTATAGATATCACATGAATCAAAATAATTATCAACTGTTAGAAACTATATTTTCAACTGGCATTTCAGATTCTACAATATTATAATTTTTTT